GCTGCTGCGGGGGCACTGCGGAATGTCCCATGTCCTGCAGGAGCCATTCCCCGGGGATCGGCAGGGCCGCTGCTCCAGCCGTGTTTGTGCGCTCCAGGGCCGCGGAGAAAACGATTACAGATGGAAGAGAAGTGGAACGAGGCAGGAGGCGGATCCCCTGTGCTGATAAGAAATTTTCCACATCTTCCATAGGAATCTGCAGGTTTAGGCATGTGGGAAGGGTTTGAACAGCTTTCCCTACAACACAGAGAACCTACTCAGTGAATCGCTGTCCTGAATTAATTTCTGGATACAAAAGAATTTGCCTTAAATTGGTTGGAAAGCAATAATTCGGGCAGCAGCAGGGTGCAGGGCTCAGAGGCTGCAGGGGCTGGGTGGAAGAGCTTTCCTCTTGGGGGGTGGTGAGGTGGTTACAGTCTGTGAGAGCCTGAGTGGGGGGAAAGCTCCCTTACCAAACCCGAGAGCTGTAAGTGACAGCTGGAAGCTAAAAGCAGGGAATTTAAAAATAGAAATATGGGACAAAATGCTGAAGTGAGAGATATGGGCTTGGGGAGCAGCAACCATGGTTTCTTTTTTGCCACCTCTTTCTCCTCATTCAGAGCCACCGATCCAGCCCAGCCTGGTCCTCCTTGGGCATTCCCACTGTGGCTGTCACTGCTTCATCCCAGTTTTTTCCTTCACCCCAAATCCTCATTTTCCACCACCCCTATGGTGTCCCCAGGTGTCCCCAGGCCATCACAGGCCCAGGTCTGGGGGTGGCCCTGGAGAGGCCACAACACCTACTCAGCTCTCCGTCCCCTCCCCAATATTTCCCCAAAGATCAATCAGAAAATTATTTTACCATCTCTGAAATCCATCAAGGGAAGTGGTTCCCCTCATTCAGCTCTTGTAGCAACTCACATTTTTCCTTTCGCATTTTTGTCCCTCACAGCCTTTTTTTTCCCTTTCTTGAGCAGTCACTGTTTCATGCCAGTCTCTGCCCCAGAAGGATCTGTCATCACTGCTGGGTGTTCCAGAGCCCTCACAGCACCGCCCCCCCCCTCCCTGCCCACGGCACTGTCCTGCCCTTCCACAGGCTACTGCAACTGAAACCAGAGGCCAAACAGTGCTGGGTTTGGTCCAGGGGTGGCCCTGGAGAGGGGGCAAAGGATTTGAACCGTCCTCAGAACTGCTTAGCAGCATTGGAAAGGTTTAACCCCCTCCTGCCCTGCAGAGACGGCAGGGAAGCAGTGGCAGGAATAGCTCCTGGCCCTCAGCCTGGCTCAGTAACACCCCCGGGGCTCCCTGGGGAGTAAAATAACCCCAGTGTGGTGAGGAAGAGGCAGCAGTGCCGAGACAAAGGGCCCGCATTGGGCTGTGGGGGCGGACCCTGGGAGAGACCTCTGCCCTACCCCACTGCCCTGCCAGGGACAGCGCTGCCAGAGCTGCCTGGGCTGGGATCAGTTTTCTCTTCCACCCAGTGATGTCTCAGCAGTTCCTCCCTGACAGGGCAGCACAAAAGCCTGGCAATATCCCGTTGTGCCAAGGCACAGTGACCCAGCAGCCTGTGGGCAGCATCTGGCTGGAATCTGGCAGGGATCCGAGTGGGGCCTGACCCATTTGGCTGCTGTGGGAATCTGCAGCATTGTGGATGGGGCATCTCCCCAGGCCAGAGGGAACTGGGGCACATCCTTATGCCAGCTCAGGGCTGATGGATCACAGGCACCTCCCAGGATTCATTTTGTCCCTCGGTGCACTGGTAGCACTGCCAGCCCTCTTCCCAACCTGCTCTGAGTGACAGGACTGCTCTGTGGGAATGGGCAGTTCACAGGAAAACAGCCTTTCCTTCATTCACTCTCTGAGACTTGCCCATTTATCTTCTGGGATATTTTCTGTGCTGTGTCATTGCTGCTGAGCATCTCCTGCCAAGTCCAGAGAGGGATGCACCACCCTACAGAAGTCTGGGGCTCCTTGCTCCCCAGATGGGTTCCCAGGGCTGTGTATCCCATAAACGGGAGAGAAACTGAGCACAAATGGAGACCAGCTGTGTCCTGAGTGAGGTCCCCAGGGCTCTGTGTCACTGGCACACACAGAGTGGTGGCCCCAACAGTATAGGGTGACCATCACTCCAGAATATCTCAACACAGTAGAGGCCTCCTTGGAAAAGCTCCAGGGTTTCCCTTTGTTTGCTGCTTCTCTCTTTGCCTTGTGCCATCCTATGTGGACCCACCAGACCATGGCACTCGGGGGGTCACTCGTCCTAATTAATGTCTCAGAGCCATCAGCCCTCCAAGCACACATCCCTGTGCTGCTGGCACCAGCCACACTCCTAATCAACTTTCCTAGTTAAGAAGCCCCTTTCCATGACCAGAAGTGCTGTGGGATGGTCACCATGATGGAAGAGGTGGAGAGATCCTCAACTTCTCCTGCCCTCATCACCCAGAATGGCACCATGGAGCTGTTCTTCATTCAGCTAAACTAAGGCAGGAGAGGGAATCTCACACCCCAGAGAAAAGCTGAAGAAAGATGGGCAGAAATGAGCTGCCCATGCCCTGACTTGTCTCCCTGGAAAATCATTTCTTGGCTGCTGCCAAACCCTGGGGGTTCAGTCAGGGTTCGCTCTCATCAACCAGCCCCGACACGCCACAGCCCCGGGTGCATCCCACTGGCATCAAGCCAGACACCAACCCTCCCCTCCTGCCACAGCCACAGGAGCTGGTGCAGGAATCCACACCATGGCCCTTGTTTGTCCCACTTCATCCCATCTCTCCCTGTGTGCCAAAAGTATTTATCCATGGCAGCATCATCCAACACTGGGATCTCCACAACCCATTGCAGCTCTCAGGACATTTTTCTCCTTAAAACCCCCAGAAAGAGCCTGGAAGACCTGAATAACTTTCCCAGTATTTGACGCTCACCAGAAAATTCTTTGTCATGGGTTTTTAAGGAATCCCTGACACTCTTCAGACACATCCCCAGCTTGGTGTCAGGAGAATGAGCTGATGATCCCTCTCTGTCAGGAATGGGCTCTGTATCCATTTGGTCATCCCATCCCTGCAGCCTTTGCCCATGCCCTGGGCTGGTGAGAGAGCTCAGACCCCCTCTGGCAGGTTCACAGCCAGCAGATCATTCTTGGCATAACATGGGGGGTTTTAGGGGTGCTGCTAAAATTGAGCATTCAGGGGAACGAATCCAGGGAGGGAGAACAAACTGCAAATCCACAAAGGAAAAGGAGTGGTTTTAATCTCTGTTTGGGCGATTTGCATACAATTAGGCCGGGCCCTGCCTGCGTTTGCTTCCGCATTGCACTCCCGTGAGGAGCCTGCTGGCTTTCCTGCCCTGCTCCCAGCCAGAGGTTGATTGCAAGGACACTCCTCCTGGGAAGGTGGTGGGCGAGGGGTTTTGGGCTCTCTGGAAATGCCCTTTTCACTCTCAGTAGCCCATCCTGAGCACCCCCATGCCACCCCCTACCTCTGGATTTATGCTCAGCCATAGGGGGCATCACTTTCCCCTGCAGTGGAGGAGGTGTGAGGAGATGCTGCAGGATGCCAACGCTCCATAAATAGTGCTGTGTTTACAGGAGCCCACGAGCCTCGGTTTATTTTTCTCTCTGCACAGCAAACAGATCATTCAGACCAATCTGAGCTCACCTCGCCCTGCTGCTGGCACAGCCCAGTGCCCAGAGGTGGCACAATGCCACAGTCCCCAGACAGCCCTGGGAGGCTGGGACCCCCAGCTCTTTGCTGGCCACTTGCCCAAGGAGGAGAGCAGGCACCCCATGGGACATCAGCTGATGGAAAATCAGCCCTGGATTGGGATGGTCCCACAGCTGATCCCATCCTGCTGTGGGGTGGGCAGGCTCTGATGAAAAGAGGGATGAGGGGTAGCCACAGGGGGCAGATCCAAGGGTTGGGACATCTGTCACGAGGCAGAGCAGAGCAGGGGACAACTCCAGCCCGAGTCTCACTAGAGGAGGGAGAAAGGACTGGGAGAGGTGCAGATGGGGGTCGGGAGAGTCCCCTTGCCCCACGTCTGAGGTCCTGTTCCTTGCAGCATTTGGATAAACCAGCCGCACTCCTGGGAAGTGATTTATGTAAGATGAGCTTTGCAGGTGCCTGGTGCACATCCGGAGGTCCCTGGAGGGATTGGGGGGTTCAATCCATCAGTGAGATTGAGCCCCCAGACCCATTTTGTCTGTTCTGCCTGGCCCGGAGAGGGGAATTGGGGGGTGACCATATTCCAGCAGCAGTTCGGGGCCCCCATTTCTCCAGACGCCGTGTGTGGACAGAGCCTTCCCCTGCCCCGGGGACGCAGCCCCTCCGCAGCCCGGCGGTGCAGTTCGGAGGATGAAGAGCGCTCTCGGGGTTTCACCCCCGCCCACCCCAGCAGTGATTTTGGGTGAGGCAGTGCCAGCCACAGCCCAGGTGAGCACCAGAGCTCCTTGAGGCCGTTCGGGTCTGACTTGGGGTCCCGACGCCGTCCCGGGGCACAGTCCCGAACAGCGCTGCCCGTGCCCGGGCCGGGCCGGGTCCTCGCCCACCCCAGCTCAGGCTCTGCCTCCCCTCGCCGTCCCGATCCTCTGCTCACACCCGACCTCAAAAACCGGTTTTAGCGTTAAATCCGGAGCCCGACTGGTGGCGGCAGCGTTGGGGCTGGGACTGGCTCGGCTGCTCCCCCCGCTGCCGCCTCTCCCCGCTCCGCCCGGTCCCGCCGCCTCCGCCCGGCCCCCGCGCACCCCCCCCCGGTCCTTCCCGGTGCCGCGGCGAGCCCCGAATCGGGTCAGTCGCTCTTTAAAGGCTGGAAGGCGGCACCATGTGATGCTTCGGCTCCGGCGGGGAGGGGGCAGCGCCTGCGGGAGCCGAGCGGTGTCGGGCACCGGGGACCGAGCGCAGCCCCGGCGGCCGCGGCCAGCCCCGCTCCCCGGCGGCCGCAGGGTCCCCCCGGCCGCCCCCGGCATGAGCCCCGCCTTGCCCTGCGGGGGGACAGCGCTGGCTCTCTGTGGGTGAGAGCACCCCAAAACAAGCCCTGGATTTGCAGGACAAGGTGAGAGGGATCGGCTGCCGGGACTCGGGACTCGGGTGGCTGCAGGAAGCAGCGCAGAGCAGGGAGGGGATCCAGGGATCAGAGACAGAGGGAGCCCCGAAAGGCTCCGACAGAGGCCCCCGGGGCGGCCCCAGGGGCGCGGGGCTCTGCCGCTCTCCCGGGACTGACCGGCGGCTCCCGCTCCCTCTTCACGGCCGGGAGCGGTCGCGCTGCGGGATGGAGATGGGTGCGGGATGTGCGGGACGGAGAAGAGTGCGGGACGGAGAAGGGTGAGGGATCGAGATGGGTGCGGGACGGAGATGGGTGCGGGATGGAGGTGGGCGCGGGGTGGGTGCAGGATGAGCTCGGGGCGGGGGTGGGGGGGCCCGGAGTCCCGGGGGACGGCACAAACAGGAGAGGAGTTTTTCCCACCCCCTCGCACAGGCTCCATCCCGCTCGCAGCTCTGGCAGCGATGCCACTCTCTCACCGTCTCCCTGTGCGTTTGCAGGTGACCGAGGACCCCCACGGGAGCGGGGCGGACCGGAGCATCATGGCACACCCCATCTCAGCCTTCCAGGCTGCCTACATCTCCATCGAAGTGCTCATCGCTTTGGTGTCCGTGCCGGGCAATATCCTGGTCATCTGGGCTGTGAAGATGAACCAGGCGCTGCGGGATGCCACCTTCTGCTTCATCGTCTCGCTGGCAGTGGCAGACGTGGCCGTGGGGGCTCTGGTCATCCCCCTGGCCATCATCATCAACATCGGACCCCAGACGGAGTTTTACACCTGCCTCATGGTGGCCTGTCCCGTCCTCATCCTCACGGAGAGCTCCATCCTGGCGCTTCTGGCCATCGCCGTGGATCGGTACCTGCGGGTGAAGATCCCTGTCAGGTAGGAAAAGGCGTCGGAACCACCTCTGCTGTGGAGGTTAAAAGGGATTGAGGAAACCCCAAATTCTTGTAGAAACACTGGGAGAAAGGACTCTACGCTGCCATCCCAGACACATCTGGCTGCAGCATAAACCGGGGCAGGCTGGGCAGGGGGGTGTGTGTGGGGGGGGGGTGTCCTGGAGCCTCCAGCAGCTTCTTTTGGGGGCTCAGGGGGTGCTGGGTGTGCAGGCAGAGATCACACTGTGGCAGCTAGCTGGCAGTGAGGGACAGCCATGGGATGCCCATGGCCAGGACAAAGTGTGACCCCACACATGGGACAGCCCCAGCCAGGTGCTCCGGGAGGAAAGCAGGTGACAGCTTTGCCTTTCACCCCAGCTCTTCCCTTGCCATGGGGAGCACGGGGGTGGCTTGCTGTGGGACACAGCTTTGACAGTTTGAAGAACCAGAGGTGACAGCCTGGAACGTTTCATGGGGCAGCCTCACCCAGGAGAGATCCCAGCTATGGAGTGCCCCACAAATTACTCCTTTTCCCCTTTTGCCCCTTCTGTATCTGTTGCCATTCCAAGCCCAGAGCAAGTGCCTCGTGGTGTAAAGGAGGGAGACACTTTATTTGAGCACTTTGTTCGAACTCTGACGCTCCAGGAGGAGATAGTTAACCCTTTATGCCCCACTCCCTTCCTATGGTGGGGCCATGCTGGTTTGGGGAAGCATTTCTGGGGTGCCACGGTGGCTGTGAGCAGGGCTAGAAGGGGACAGGACACCCGAGCTCGGTGTCCCCAAGCAGAGACAGGCTTAGCCCCTCACTATGAGTCCCCCTCACTCTGTGGGGATGCCTTTGCCAGCCTCATCTGCCCTGCAAGGCTCCGGATGTGGGAGCATTGCTGGAAAACAGCCCAGGCCAGCTGAACACTCATGTCCCCCCATTACCCCTCAGCAGTTGAGGCAGTTGGCTGGAGGGGTCCCAGACCCTCCATCAGCACAAACACCCCAGAAAGGCACCCCTTGTGTTGGTGCTGCCCAGACCCCAGCAGGTGTAGGACCCTTCCTGGGGCAGGGAGACAGGGACAGGAGGCACCCCAGGTGTTGGGGATCACCTGACTGCTCTGGAGTGCTCAGCGCTCCCAGATCCATGGGGTCAGGCCAGAGATGTGCTCCTTTGGGCTTTTGCTGCAGCCACCACCAGCAGAGGTGGAGAGGAGGAGTGTAAGACAGAGATGTGCTCCTTTGGGCTTTTGCTGCAGCCACCACCAGCAGAGGTGGAGAGGAGGAGTGTAAGACAGAGGAGGGGGCCCAGGATAAATCCACAATCCCAGCCCACCCCCTCCCTGCCACACATGATTTTCACAGACTGTTCCTGACTTCCTCCCTAGGTGTGATTTTCCCAGTCACTGTCTCCCAGCCCGCCGGTGGCGCCAGAGTGATTCCCACCCTGTCACTGCTCCTGGAGCTTTTTTGGGCTTCGCACATCCCCTGCCTGTGGGGAAGGCTCTGCTGTGGGAGTTCTGCGGCTCCACAGGAGCAGCACAGCCTGTCAGGCATTTTCCTAACAAACCAGTCCATTTTTAACTCCTTGTCTGCCTCTGAGCATCAGATGGGCCTTTCAGGGGAGATTCCTGCCCTGATCCCAAGAGCTTTCCTGGGAGCAATATTAATATTAATATTATGCTGTACACAGTTTGGGTGGGTTTTTCTTATGAAATTTCCACCCTGAATTTTGTGATCCCATTGTGTGCCCAAGCACTCAGCAGCAAGAGATTTTCCTTTGTCTTTTCAGAGCCTATTTTAATATTGAAAAGCTTTGTAACCTCATCAACTTAATAGATGCACTCAAGTGTCTCAGAGATCTTTCCCAACCTTAAAAAGATCCTACAGCTTCATGAATTCCTGGCAGTTGGCACATGTGGAGATTTTAGGAGATGTAGTGCCCTGTATATAGCACACAGGACAGGAAACATCACTAAGGAATATTTTCTGAGTCTGAAATACCTCAAGTTTCTCCCAGTCTGTTGGAGGATGCTAAGGATGACAGGGATGGCATTTTTGCAGTGCTCATGGCTCTTGTGGTGTGATTCCTGACTGTGACACTGAACCCAGCAATGGCAAAGTGAGAGCCCAGAGCACCTGGCAGGACTCAGGGCCCTGGGGAAACACGTGTGGCCACTGTGCTGGGAGAGCTCTGGGAGAGCTCCAAGCATCCCTGGAGGGCTGCAGGCAATGATGGCAGCCAGACCTGAGCAGAGATTTGCAGGCAGGGGTGGGGAGTATCTGCCTCAGGCTTATCCCTACGGCAGCCCCTCCAGCCCAGGCATGGACAGTGTGCTCGCTGCAGCCCATTCCTGTGCCAACAGGACTCCTCAGACAAGCCTGGCACAGGCTGGATCCTCACCAGTGTGACCTGCACGAGGCTGAGGGGGTCTTGGGGGCATCCCAAACATTCCAGCCCTGCCCCTCATCCACAGGCAGCCCTGGTGCTGCCGAGGCTCAGGGAGAGGGAATGCATTTCACAGAGCCACAGAATCCCTGGGAGGTTTGTTTGTGAAAGGACCTTACCCTGCCAGGGGCTGGGACACCTTCTACTACCCCAGGGTGCTCCAAGCCCCTTCCAGCCTGGCCTTGGGCTCTTTCAGGGATGGGGCAGCCACAGCTGCTCTGGGCAACCTGTGCCTTCCTCACAGGGAAGAATGGCAGGGAGTGGGGAACATGGTGCATGGCAGCTGGTTCCAGCTCCAGGCTCCCCATGGACACCCCAGTCCTTGGACTGCAAGTTTGGGAACTTGGTGTTCCCAGGGATGGATATCTCCTGGAAGAAATGGTGCCTTGAGACATTTGGGGTGTCTCTACATGGCAGTGGGAGATGTCAAAGCAGCATCCAAAGCTGCATTGCTCCAGTGGCCACTTCCCATGGACACAGAAGCACAGAGGGATGTGGGCCACCCCTGCAAAGCAGATTTTATCAGATGGAGATGGGTCTTGCTTGGATTTGAGTTGGCACGTCCTGTTCTTCCTTCTTCACCCAGCGTGGTCAAGGGACTGGGATATCCCACCAAACCCTCTCCATTTGCCCCTGGGGATGATCCCTCCTGGCTTCTGGGCCCTGAGGGATGCTTCCTCCCCCCTCAGGGGCCATGCCTTGACTTTGGAAGGATGCAGGAGCATCAGTTGGGCTCAGCAGGCTAGAGCAGAGGGTCCCCCACTTCCCAGCCCCCACAGGAACAGCTGGAAACCACCTAAAATAGATTTGCTGGTGGAAAACTCCCCCTCCCCTCTCACATCCTTCCTCCCTGCCCGGCAGCCAGGCAGGACCCCCAGCCTGTGATCCCCCCGTCCGGGCACAGCGGGGTCCCTGAGCCCAGCCCAAACTTCCCTCTCACAGCCGTGCTTGGGGAGAATGAAAGGAGTTCAAAGGGAGGGGAAGCACCAGCTGGGGGTGTCTGGCAGGAACCGGCCCCTCGGCATCCCGGGGCAGGCAGGATGCTGGAGGAGACGGGGCTGCAGGAATGTTTTGGGGGGATGCAGCTCCTTCAGCGCCAGCCTCTGCTGCCCTGGGGGCCCTGTCTCTGCTCTGTGTTTTGGGCCTTTTGGACAGGGCCATAGCAAAAGGAGCTGCTGTCCTTGGGATGTGCCAAACCACCCCTTGGCTGGGGATTCTGAACGTGTGGATGCAACCCAAGCCTATCTTGAAATGTCCCTGAGGGTCCTCACCTTGTGCCCTCACCCCAAACGCTTTGAAATGTCTCAGGAAGAAAAAACCTGCAGGAATCTGATATTTGCAGGAGCCCTCGTGTTGGAGTCTCTCTGTCCACAGCCAGGACCTCCTCCCTCTGTGCCTGGGCCTCAGCATTGGGGTCTCCTCCTAGCCCTGCCCTTCCCAGCCTGCAGCATCCCAAGGAACATCCCGCCAGGGAGAGCTGCCTTTGGTGCTGCTGAAGGTTTGGAATGCGCCCCTGTGAGGCTGCAGAGCCATGGAAGTTAGGTCAGAATGGTTGGAACTCCCTAGGAAATGGGGGCCAGGAGGCTGGAGCACAGCAGGGGAAGAGCTCAGGGTAAAATCAGTGTCAGGAGGTGGCTCTGTGGACAGAACTGGCATTGTCTGGTGGTTCAAGAGTGCCTGTCTGGAATGAGATAAAACAGCTCAGATGGCAGGAACATCCCTCAGCCCTGGAGTGCAGTGCCTGCAAGGCAGGAAGTGAGGGAGATGTGCAGGGGACCTGTGAGCTCCTGGATGGACATGGAGGGGGAAGCTTCCCCTTGGACTCCCTGTTTCCAGCCTCTTGCCCGAGCTCAGGCTCTTCCTGGGATTGTAGCGCTCTTTCCCCTTCTCTCCAGTCCTGCCAAGGGCCACAGGCATGGGGCCAGCTAGGACTAGGTCATGGTAAGCCTGGGAAGTCTTTTTGCCCTCAGCCAGCTGCGTGCTAGAGCGGGACACATCTGAGGGGCTTTTCCCCAATGCAGGGTGCCCAGAGAAGCTGTGGGGTGGCTGCACCACCCCTGGAAGTGTCCAAGGTCAAGTTGGATGGGGCTTGGAGGAACCTAGGATAGTCAAAGGTGTCCCTGCCCATGAGTGGAACAAGATGGGCTTTAAGGTCTCTTCCAACCAAACCATTCCATCACCAAGGGTTCATGGAGGGGAGTGATGGGCACCTGCTGCCATGGGATGGGTGAGGAGGAGAACATTGGGATGCAAATTCCCAGCTCCCAAAACATCAAAGGGCCCACGGGACATCTTTCCAGCACTCTCAACACTTAGTGCCAGGAAACCTTCCTGTCCAGCCAGGCCAGTGAACAAGCCAAACCACAGCCCTTCCAAGGCCTGTTTTACATTCAGAGGAATTTCAAAAGCATCCAGGTGACTCAGAGCTCTCACCCTGGAGCTCATCTATTTTCTTTCACCCTCCACTAGTCAATGAAAAGATGCCATCCATCCATACAGGCCCAGCCCCCGAGAAAGCACATTTCATTTCCAAGGAGAATACTTCCATTTTCCCTAACCTGGAGGAATTT